GAGTGTTAATAATGGTGACCAGGTCGAATGCTCTTCTCATGAGTGTGTCGAGGAAAATCTCAGTCCGGGTGATTGTGAATCCTGACGACATTCGAGACGCGGCCCCCGGCATCCGTGGCGAGTACGAAGCGAAAAGGGGACTTGGGAGACGATTAGTATGCCGTGCTCTACGCGGCGTGAGGCGGGTGCACAACGAGAAGAGGTGATACAAGCGCGGCCCTTGTTAGAGACTCACCGAAGGCTGCCCCCGGCCGGCGTGCATTGATCGGGATGGCCGTACCATGCACCCGAACTACGCTTCCGTAGGGAGGATGGAGTGTTCGAATTGGGCGTCGATGCCCCGCAAAAACGTCTAGCAAAACATAATTAGGCCCCATGTTTATATTAGCAGCAACAGTGCCAAGTGTTTGACCTTCTGTGTGTCTCCTATTCTTTTTTGTTCTTCTGTTTATTAGTTGTTTCTGCTACTATAAATAGTCGACTCGCCCAAAATTGCATCTTAATAGGTCTCAAGTAAGGCATTTACTCAGTGTTTTTCTTTTTTGATAAAGGTATATGGTAGAGGAAATACCTTGAAGCGCTGTAGCAACCAAACTGAGATTTACATGTGAACTAAACTGCCATGTAACGTAATTCTAACAACGGGTAAATGTGTTGAAATAAATCATCACAAAAAAAGGAATGTGTATGGTCGCACTTTCCTTGCAAAAATTATAAATGATTTTTAATTGAGTTTCTAATGTATTCTTGTAAAGTACATTGGAAGCTCAATTGAAACTCATTGATAATTTTTTAGTGTTTAGAAAAATAACTATCTTGTTTATTTAAATATAATCATTTCACCTGAAAATGTGGGCAGGAAGTCCATATAAGTACGCATGTTGCTGCTCATGGACCCCTGCAAATTGTAATAGAGATAGCGAAAAGATATATGCTAAAGAAGTGACCCACGGTATTTCGAATCTTAAGTTTAGGTTCATTTCCGTATCTTGTCGTACACGGCCGCCATTTATATGCTTACTAAATATTTTATTTCTGTTATATATATATATATATATATATATATATATATATATATATATATATATATATATATATATATATATATATATATATATATATTTATAGCTACCGAACTTTGAGTATCTAATTGTCTGGCAAGATGAGTGTAATCTTTGTACTGTGGCTACACGGGCCCTGCCACGTCGAGTGAACATCCACACAACACGAACGATAACCCAATGTTGCCGGAATGCGACAGCTTTCAGTACCCAAAGCAAGTAGCAAACTATACCGGACAACGCTTATTTTTCAATTCGATAATTCGGCGAACTCTGTGCCGGCGGCACGACAAGGCATATAGGTTTATTTATTTATTGACTTATTCATTAAATTTACTCTCCGGTGCCCAGGGGGTGTTATTGCAGGAAAGTGGTAATTGTGAAAATACACACAAACATGCACATAATCATACAGTATAGTATACAGTATAGTACACAAAAAATATGCAGAGTTGTAAAGTACCCTACTGTTTATAAATCTCTCTCCCCCCCCCCCCCCCCCCCGCCCCCGCCCCCCCTCCCACCAGAAAGAGAAAAGAAATGGGATATATCCAATACGAGGCATTTTATCTGACCCTAGGTAATCTTATGACTGCTGACATCCGCGTAGTTAGAGGAAGTGACTGTTGAGAAGGTTGAACACTGTTTCAATGCTCGCACTGTCATTAAAGTTAGTATCGGCAGCATTAGTTAATGTTCAGAATCGCTAGTAAAACAAATTTCCATTTATTCATTTATTTACAAAAACAACCTGCAGCGCCGAAGCGCTATAGCAAATATAGCCTAACAATAAAAAATAATAATAATAATTAGTGAAGCATGAAAAAGTAACAAATCAGTGAAGGCTGGTAATTTACCCACAAAAATTACGAGAAGAACAAGCAAGTCAAAAATTGGAATCACTTCCTGAAAGGAGTGATCCCACGTTAATATTTATAACGGCGGTCTCGGGCAATGTATTCCGCTCAATAATGGCGCGAGAAAAAAATTTCTTGTACCTGGTGTGACAGAATGTTACCTTGATTGTCATCGAGTGATTCGAGTGATCGAGCGATTTTCATCGAGTTTCTACTGATTCATGGAAAGCTTTGTATTTATTTTGAGAAAAGGAAAATGAAATATTGTATGACCGAACTGTTAATCCAAGCTTCGCCGTTCACGCCTTTCATAATCACAGCCTAAAAACTACCGTCGCCAAAACATTCCTAAATAATTGAAAAGCTTGGAAGTGTTTGGAGCCTATACCTATACAACCTAAGCGTTCTCAGGGCAGGCAGGAAATGCAAATAGTACGTAGCTTCGAGAGACGTTTATTTTTCCCATCGCATTAACGGCCGATTGGGTCAGTCGCAGTTTCTAAAGGCCCATTCACAAACTTGCGACAGTTAAAACCGAGTGCCTTGAAACCTCTTAAAATTACTTAGGACGGTAGAACACACTGGCACGCTGGCGCCATCTATGCGGTGACCCTGGAACTGCATTTCACTAGAGCGAAGGTTTCGCGGGATTTGCAAGGTGAAATGTTCGTAATACCCATGAGAAATGGTCGTTTATAACGTTGACAAAAGTTCTGCGAGCCAGGAAAGAAAGAGCGATGCGCGAGAGAAACAGAAAGTATACGAGACCGCCAAGTTTCCATTGCTACCCAATAGTGGGCGCCAGTGTGTCCTCTCGTTGTAAGAGATATTAATAGATATCAAGGCACTCGGTCTTAAGAAGTCGCAAGTGTGCGAACGGGCCTAAACCAATGTCAGCTAAGCCGGCACCAGCTAGGACAACCGGAGGATGTAAACAGCCCTTATTAATACATCCATATAGTACGTCATCACCCTGGGATGGCGCCAACTCGGCAATTGAACCCGAACCCGAAGCCGAGCGTTGATTGGACCCGAACCTGAAGCCGAGCGTTGATTGGACACGAGGCCCAGCCGAACTCTGACACAGCGCTCGTGTCCAATCGGGGCACGCGATCGACCTCACTGCGATGACGTCAAACTTCCGATGCACGGCTTTGGTTATTCTAGGTGGTGTGGGCTCAAACCAATGTTACACGGCACAAAGCGTTCGAGGGTGTATACGGTCAGCGACAAGCGTTTTGCACTACAGAAACGGGAACTAAAACAGAAAACCGTGAAACGGCGGGAGCGCTACGTCAACGAGTGAAGAGAAAGCAATAAATGAGGAGCAATAAAAAAAATTGCCATGTCTGTTATTTTCAATCACCGTCACCGGGAAATGTCGGCGAGGCTGATTGTCGGGCAACAAAACGTTTCCGCGTTGTAATTGTTGTTCCTCAGTGTGGCAGGCTCACCGTAAGCATGTTCCCTTCGTGTTTATATACGTTCAAAATTTACCGATCGTTTCCTCAATGCGAACAGCGCCTCAATTCCAGCTTCATGTCGAAATGAGCTTCTCCACCCCGCCCATCGCTTTGCTAGATTCAAGGTGTGCCGCTGCGCAAACTGAACCTCTATCTTTCATGACTGATAACGCAAAGCAGCGATCACACTGCTATCCTACACAAGTGAGTCTAAAGACGCTGTCTAAGGACTTCCCTTGTACGACGCTCCCGTCACGTTGGTTACACAAAAACTGTCCGCCGACATGTCAGAACCCTCTATGAAGAAAACATTCGTTGAAGATGCATGGTGTCCGCAGGTAATTCTGCCACTGCGTCGGCAGTAAACAGCGACTTAAGCTACTCTCCACGGTCAGCAAAGGGAAGTCATTGGGCCCGTTAAGTCTGTGCTCCGGAGCGCGAGAGCCGCCGGAGACCGACACCCGAGCGCGCTCTTCGTGCACCGGGTTCTTCTCGGAGCGCGAGTGACTCCTTGCCTTCCTCGCGTTCCCTGACGTCACTTCCTCAAAGAAAATGACTGTGCCGACAGGAATGTTGCCGTGACGAACAGTGCAGTCGGAACACTGTTCCTTTTGAGCCGAATAATGCTTAGCCCGACCCGCAAAAACAATGCGATCGGAAAGCCGAAATATCAGCCTTCCGGAACAGGTTTGGTCTTGTATTTTGCCCGAAAGCGATTTAGCGTGCTATGTATACTGAACGGTGGTGTGCCGATGACACATCAACGTTTCTTGTTCTCGCACTGCGAGACGGAAATCCTCCTCTGAACGTCCCTGAGAAGTTTGAGTGTCCCCAGTCGACAAGCCAGTCCAATAAGTGTTTAGTTGTTTAATAGTTGCTGCACATAAAATATGAAAATCAGAGTGTCGAAGTAGGGGTAAAGAAGTGCGGACTTAACGCGGTCAGTTGGTTTCGATTGCTGGATCGTTATGGTTCTGATAATACAAAATTCTCAAACTAGAACCATGAAAAAAAAGGTGATAGTTCTCCCACGTCTGCTCTTTCACTTTATGATGACATTTAGCTATTACGGCATGCTATTAAGATTCGGAATCGTTGATTCATTTATGCCAGACTTTTCCGTGCACAGAGCGCCGCTCTCACGGGGTGGTGCTGACGGAGAGAACGCTAATATCATCGCAACTTACTTCTTTTTAATGTATCCCTTTCTAGTATTTTGAAGAAACAAAAGCTTGTTAGTAAGTGAACTTCGCTAAAGTTAAGAAAATTTTTGTTTTTGTTTTTGACGACATTCCTTTGGTTTTTTTTATAAAAACAGTGACTGAGTTCCTTTCTTTCGACAAAATTGAAAAGTACTGCAGGATCATTAATGTTGCCGAACTTTGGACTCATTTCATTGATGTATAAAACGTCATGCTTTGTTAACGCAATCAGGGGTAACTTTTCTGTCATTTACATACTACGTATGTAAATGACAACAGAATGCACAAGAAAAATTAATTTTTTTTGTGTGTGTTTCTTTGCAGGGACCGCTGAGACTGGCTCTTTCGCTGCTGCTGCTGGCGCTGCTTGAACGCTCACGCCCGACCCTGGGAATCCCCCTGGATGCTTCGGCGAGGATGAGGCCCGAACTCAGCCGCGAGGAGACGTTGGCCCGCCTTCTGCGCGAGGAGCTTCGGACGCTCGAGGCCTCGTACCCAGAGTACGGCTCGCGTAAGACGGTGGCCCCGCAGCAAAAAGAAGACTCCGCCGTCGAGGCCGACGCCGCGGCCAGCAGGAACGTAGACCTCATGGTCCCCGACGAGACCAAGAACAACCGCGTGTCCGACTATGACGCTGGTCGCTCCCTGGAGGGGAGGATGTCTTCGATGCCCGACGTGCTCCACAAGCGGCCTCAGCCGCCCTTCTACGCGGGTTCGGAACACCTGGCCGAGAAGCCTGCGCTGCCGCCGCATGTGCTCAAGGCCCGCTCGGGCGACCTCGTTCGAGTCCGGTCCAGGTCGAGGCCGGTCTACAAGCCCCTGTACTCTTCCAGCGAGCACTTGGCCGCGAGGCCCGCCATCCCCCTGCCGCAGCTCGAGGCTTACCAGAACAGGAAGGGCTCAGAGGACCTGGCTCCTTACCTGGATGAGGAGGCCAAGAGCGGCGACCTGAGCACTGCTTCGCCCTTGCCGAGAACGACAACGTCTCAGCCGGTCGGACTTAGCACGAGAACAACAACCAAAGTTTCTCCGGTGCATCCAACGTTCCCAACTCGGGTCAAGTCGCCAACCAAGGAGGCGGCTGTGGAGGCGTCAACCCAGGAAGTTCAACTGAAGCCCGTCTTCTTCCATGCCAGCCAAGACGAATTCTTGAGTTCCGTCACTACTCTAGAACCACTGACCCGTGGAACAAGAACTACAATTGTGACCTCTACCTCAACAACGGCGTCACCAAGTTCGAAGGTTCAAGCGTCTACCACAACACCAGCGCCAAGAACCGGCTTGGCTTTCCACAGCAAACCACCAGTAACCCGACACGTATCAGTTCCAACCGCATCCCCATTGGTCATACAGACAAGCGCACCGACTTCGGTGGTCACCAGAGCGCCTGATGTTGTTGATACGCCAACCAACTTGTACTTGCCCGATCCTCTGGTCCTGTCGAACCAACACAGCAAGCCTCAATTTTCTCGGTTTACCCCAGGGATAGTTCCTTCCTCCCGAAACACCGACGGAGGAACAAACCCTGATCGAAGAACCACGAGGAGATTTCACAATCCGACAAGGAGCCCACCGGCTTTCCCTCCAAGGCGAAGGATGACGTTCCAGCCCTTTAAGCGAACGAACCGACCAACGCCCACAGTCTCAGGCACGACGCCCACCCCCTGGCGCCAACCATCCAAGCCTTCATTTTACGCCGGTGGCGATTCGGAGCTCATGAAGGATCTCATGCCGGCCGTGCACCCTGTTCCAGATAGGACATTGGCCGAGACGACGCCTAAAAGCCTGCTAATTTCTACGGAACCGACTGTTCATCTGAGTGACAATTTTCCAGAGGTCCCCGATGAAAAGGATGAGGAGGACAGAGAGGATCGACCTGAAACGCCCGCAAGTGCCGTTACTAAACCTGCCTCCTCTCAGACTGTGCAGACAACCGCACCAACACCCGCTTCTGCGGTGTCAGAGGACAGCGTTACCGTTGCTTCGGTGCCCCCCACGAAACAACCTGAAGATACAACCCAGCCAAGCACTCCTCACCAGGATCCGGTTGTCAGAACAACAGTTGCCCACGCGGAGACGACCGCGACTGGTGTTTCTCCCGCCAGTGAAGCTTCACAAGGGCCCGTCCCCGCTTCGGACATGATGCCCTCAGAAGATGCAGGCGGTGCTACGATTGAGCTGCCGTCCAACTCAGAAACGAAACCCTTGTCAACTTCGGAAGAGCCGGCCGAAGAACCTGCAACCAGCGAAGGACACGACCGCGACAATATGCCGTCAATACCAAAGAGGGAAGAAGCCACGCATGTTGCTCCCGACGTTTCGCAGAGCACGGAGGGCGCCCCTCACGACTTTGAGTCTCCAATGGGTGAATCACCGCCACCAGTCGCCGAGGCCGAGGATCACGACGGAGACGCCGAATCCGAGAAAGCGACGCTGAACATCGACGAAGCCCTCGACGATGTACAGGCTGAAGTTCCAGGTCTTGAGCCTCTCGAGGATGCCGAGGAAGACGGCTCTGTCGACCACCCTCAACAAGGAGGCCCCGTGGTCATCTAAGCCGCTGGGGGCACTGCCAACACCTCCTTGATAACATATAATAATGGTATCTAGGAAGTGTTGGCACAGCGCATTAGGAATAGGTTACTTCCATCCAGGGCGGCGGGTTGCGCGAGGTTTCGGGTGAACTGGCTCTTCATTTCACGTCATGCAGCGCCTCACGTAAATTCACACAAAGGCCATCGACATCGTCTTTTTTTTCTTTTTTTTTCTTTTCATCTTTCACTATACCGTTGCCTGACGCAGGAGGTTAACATCAATAACAGTGTGCGCCTTTGGGTTTTCGACAGTGATAATAAAGGTGTGCAGTGTTCTCTATTGATCATTATTGGGTTTCTGGCAAAACCAAAATGCTACTCTGCAACTACAACTGCTCCGGCCAGACCTGCTGCGATGCTCTTGGCAAATTAATCGTAGAGCGGCGTAAAACATTTTTTTTAAGGCAAAAGCCTCATATGTCCCATTACGGGAAAAGACGGCATCGGCGTTGTGCCCGAAAGAGGGCCATAAAAATACGTCATCCAGCACGCGACACTTGTCTGAAAAATAAAACACAAAGAAAAGCTCAGCAACACAGATGCTTCGTCACGGAAGCCGTGAAGCCGGCGTTGCGCCGCGCCTGCGCAGTGGGGCAGCCTGATGTCGTTGCCGGAGCGCCGCGTGCAAAAGGAAGACGTGGCGCGCTGCCTTCGGACCTCATCTTTGCTCGTTCTGTGCTACGTGCGATGAACTCTGAGGTGAAGTTTGCGGTCTGGTGGCCAACGAATACGCAGACACACACACCGAATACAATACTGGCAGAAACAACTTTAATACGTGTAGAAACATTACTCGAAAACGTTTCACCCGCGGGACTATAATGCATTCATACACGTAAGCAGTCCTAAGTGTCTTGCTTTTTTTTTCAATTTTATTGTAAGAAAACAATGCTACAGCTTACTAAATTCATCTGTTGTCTATACGATCAATGTTCCAACAATCACCAGAATTAACACATGTTGCCCACCGATTAATGTCCTGTGAGAAAATTCGTTTTCTCTACGAGATAAATACGTTTCGAGATGTATTGTTTTGAAGCGTTCTCGAGCAATACACGCATTATGCCGTGATTTGTTGAAGGCATAGTTCAACTGTAGACATTAACCACACAGCTAACGACCAAGCCCATTCAATTTCTTATTTTTTCGTTATCCTCGCCGAGCCTTACACCTTACCTCTATACCCATAACACGTCTGAAAGGTAGTTGTAAGGGAGACTTCCGCAAGTTACTTGTAGTGTAAGTAAGTTATGAGCACGCACAAAGGTGACGAGTACATTGGCGAAGCACTTTTGTAGTTGCCATTGGATCGTAGCGTTGACTGCGGTAGAACTTAAAGCGAAACAGAGTACGGAAATTCTATAGTCTCAATAGCCATTGTTTGAATCACTAAGTAAAAGAAGCTCGTCTTCTGTGGAGATATATAAGGCGTGGTGGGACCTTTCTGGTAGCAAAAGCGAAGCGCGAGTTTTCGGTAGAACGCACACATGCATAAGTTACCAAAAAAGACAATGAAGTTACGCTACGCAGCATTGTTTTAAAAATAATGTGACAAAATAATAGACCACAATTTAAATAGTAATGGAATGAATTACTAATTATAGGCAACTCATTAAAGGGACACTGCCATGGTGTTTATGCTCGCGAAGGTTTCTATTTGTACATGACACGAGAACTCAACTGCCTAGAACACAATTTGCGGCTCGAAATTCGTTTTCCTTCCGTCCGAAAAGCGCCGATCAAGAGTTGGCCGGTTTGAGTCGCGCTCACTCTCTTTTCAGGGGTCACGTGCCGTTTTTTTATAATTTAGAAACAACCGCCAATGATAATCAAAGTTGTGGGTCATCGAAGGCAGACACTCAATGCTAGAAATGGTCAAAAAATGATAACCATTTTTGTGGCTTCTAAAACGCTGCAAAAACGTTGGCTCAAAAAAAAAAAAAAAAAAAAAAAGTTGCACAACCACGTGGTTTTTGGTATCATTCTCTTCCTCTGTATCTCTTCCTCCTCCCCAGTAAAGTTTCTGTTTCGGTTTCGAGCAGTTGCGATTTCTAACTTTATTAAAAATATACCTGACACTGTTGCAAAATATTGATTGGGTAGTCTTCTGACAGCATAATAAATCGCCTGGGGAAAAACATTTATTTCCTTGGAGGGCTTCAGAGTCCCTATAAGTTACGTTTCGTGCAGCATAGGACCTTTATGGTGACGAAAACAAGGCGCACGTTTTGTTCGCTAACGACTTATTGTGCACCCCTCTTCCTTACAGCGGGAAGACATTTTCTGTCTACTGAAAGAAGATAATTAAAGACCAAATGCCTTGCTTTTTCTTTTTTACGTAGGGTCTGCATTTTGCCGAGCCTGCGTGTCGTTCCGGAGAAAAATCTCAGGGGGGCCTGATATTCGGCCAGGACAATTGAGAGGCAGAATACCGTCGCTCTATGGCTAAGCCTCTATACAGTTTTCCGTTGCTAGTTTACTTTTTACACAGAACAGCACATACTAAAGTCACTGTGTACACATTTCTTTGTAACATATATTTTCGTAAACTCTTCGGATCCAGGAAAGTTCAGCACTTATAAAGCAAGTGGGCACACACGAACAAGTCATTTCCTTATAGTTCTCTCAGTGAAAGCACATCGCGCTCATAGTTGAATACTTTGACACTGACGAAACTTACGATATCGAACAATTGGCAACTTTCGTCCAGCAAACTTGTTTCAAGAAACTGCCGCGAAGTTTTCCAGACCGATCGAAATAAACATTACTTATTCGCTTCTTGTTCGTAAGAAATTACGTGGAGCCTGTCTCTTCGTGGCTATTTCTAATGCACACGAGGCGAAATTTCGTTTTCCTGGTCGAAATTGAGTTTGCTACTTTCCCAACAGATTCTAGCCAGCGGTTCAGAACAAAAGCATTGGAAGCTAGACCTCATTTTACAACTCTCTTTAGTACAGGAGAACTCGTCAAAAACGAAGAAGGTAGCCCACCTTCGAGAAATCACTCGGCAGGACAGTCGGATTTTCGTTAACCTCGGTCGCAATTTCAAATGCCAAAGGCACTGCCCATCGTTTGCCTATTTTGTGTGAAGGCGACATTTATTGAAACGAATTAATACACAACAAAGCGACCAAGCGAGGGGGGTTGACTATCTTGTCTACTTCATATCGAATAATTCCCTCAGAGAAACCAAGCAAGTGAGTCGTATTCAATTGGCCATAAACACAACTTTTAAAGTTACGAAAAATTCAATTAGGAAATGTCACTTAAGGCGCTCAATTGAATCGTGAGAGAAGACAGTGCAAATATGTTGATGCTATGAAGACGTCTCTTGTAAGGAAGACCAGACACCAGCAACTCTGTAGGATTTCGTTCAATCTCAAAGGTGCAGTTGATAGCAAACTTTTTTTATGCGAAAACTTTATACTTGTGATAAAACTCGCTGTTTAAAAGGAAGAAAACAGATACGTTTTCCTTTCAGCAATAATCGATTATTTATTAAAGAAGCCAGCGCGATAGTTAGAAAATTGGGTTGCCCTCGCGCGAACAAATACAATTTAAGCACGTAAAAAAAGTTTGGGTTGTGTGTATGTTTATATAGCCTAAAACTTGGTCTGCCTCAACGGGCGACGAGTCTCCCAGCTGTAGATGAGAAATTTAGCCAGTGCAGTACAACCGCTAGCCTGGGATATTTAACGTGCTTTACGCAGTAGTGATATACGACCGCACGCCGGTACCAGAGCCGTGTATACAGAGAGTTTGGTCAATAGGAGGCGCGGGCAGAGCCGGGGCGTGCACCAGACGCAGAAAGTGGGCTTGACACGCTCCCTTGGCCATCCAGAAGCTTAAAGGAATCCCCTAGTGGTGGTAGCGAGAAACTGTTTTAATCAAAGGTATGTTGATATGGTTCTAATAAGCTCGTAAGAGTGAAGCGCAGTAACCCTCCATAATTCAAAATTGGGTGCACGTGATGTTTTGATCATTATCATGCAGAAAGATTTAAGAAACGAATGTGCCGCTCAACTTTGTTTTGCTCGGACAGAGTCCGACCGCTCAGACGGGAGTTTCCCGGCCCTCGGTGCTTGGCGTACGGATTATGTCGACCGTTCCGCTCGTCGCACTGTTCCACCATGATTTTGGATGACCGTGATTAAAATATCACGTGCACCATATTTTCAGCCACCGAGAGTTACTCTGACGCACTTATTAGGTTTGTTTCTCGCGACCACCGCCAGGGTATTATTTCCGGCTTATGGTTGGCAACGTTCGAACCTGTGAAGACTCCCTGGAACACGGCCAGCCCGCTTTCGGCCAATGGCGCCTCCTCATTTGTCTCCTATACTTACCAACGAATGGCCAAAGCTCTACATATAGGGCTCTGGCCGGTACGATGCTCATCCAGATCGAAACGGTTGGGGTTGGGGATTGAACCCAGGATCCTGGGTTCTGCAGGGCGAGCTTTCGCTCCACGTGCTCCGAGCTGGTGTGCGCTATCTCACTCGGCCACCGATCCCCCTAGCATGCGAACAGGTACAGTTTAAGCACGCAAGAAAGACAAATCTAGGTGCACTATGCGCTCAAAAGCTAGCACATGTCCACCATTCAGACAAAGAACTGAAACAACATAGAAAAAAAGAAAGATATAATTGTGTTATTAAGTAAACCAGCGATTGAAAAAAAAATACGTGCACATTTGACATACAAATGAGGGACAAGCCTAGGGCAACGCATTGTAGATAACAAAGCCGCAGTGCTGATAGAGATGTCGCCATGAGCGAAGTTCAATGCTGGCCACTGATTGGACACGACGATTGCGTCAACGCTCGGCTCAAATTTGACTCGAAGCCGAGCGCTGGCGCGCAGCACCCGTTTCCAATCTGTGTCCAGCGTTGGCCTTCGCTGGTGACGCTTAGAAACGTCAGCACACAACGGCCTCGTCCTCTAAACAGAGGTCGGCATTTT